TATTCATCTACGTCAGCACATCATCTTATTCTGCACTGCTTAGTGAATTGTATACTCAACATATATACAGTAATGGTACCACTGATACAGCCATTGGTGGTCCACGAAAACTTTTTGATGGTCCGCAAAAAAATTGGGAAATAATTTATGCACTTTTTACGGATATTTTTCATGCATTAATAATAATTTTTTAGTATTTTATTTAATTTTTTTGTTTGTTTTCAGATCCAAACAAAATAGATAATGGAATCATAATGAGTGAGAAATAGTAAACGAATATTTTACATTTCTTTAGTAAAACTAAAAATAGAATAACTAATGAAAATAGTATTAGTTCTCTTAACAAAGTGGTGGTCAAGAATCAGAACATCCTCATTCCTCGTCACGGTCAGACAGCCTTAGAAAGAATATTCAAACTGAAGGCGAAAAGAAAAACCCAAAATAAGAAGAAAATGTGATTCAGATTCTTGAAAATTTGTATTAAATCCAGAACCTTGTAGTGAGTTACCTTTTTTGTATTATCTGTTCTCAGAGTTTATCTAGCGATGCCATAAAACCTTCAAAACTCGAAAGACACTTAAAATCAAAACATCCAGATTTTACTTAGAAACTACTTGAATATTTTCGAAGACTGCGTGAAAATATGCAAAAACAAGTAGGTGCCTTAAAATATGGTTGTTTAAGATAAGTCCCTATTAAAGGCTTACTATCTGATAGCACTTCAAATAGAGAAATACAATATGCCTCATACGATCGGAGAAGTACTCAAGCCTTGCATGTTGCGAGCCTGTGAAGAGGTTTGGAGAAAAAAGCTGTACAGAACTGAAAGTAATAAGTCTGCTAACACTGTTAAGCGCAGAATTCAAGAAATGACTGAAGATACTGAAAATCAAGTTATAAAAATGGTAAAATTTCACCATTTTGTTCAATTCAATTTGATGAATCTACGGACATAAGTAACAAGGCAATTGTGTGCGAAGGAGAATTACAGGAAGAACTACTTTGCTTGCTCAACTTACCGAGTAGAACATCGAGCTTTGAGATTTTTAAAGTACTTGACAATTATTTCCTGAATCACTAAGTTGAATGGAAAAAATGTATTGGAATATGTACAGACCGTGCTGCAAGCATGACTGGACATCGCTCAGGAGTTCTTGCAAAGGTGAAAAGTTTAGACACCCAGTCTTTCTGCCTACACACTGCATTATACATTGTGAGCATCTTGTGGTGAAAAAAAATGACCGCACAGCTATATGATCAGATGTTATTAATATCAGAAATGAAATTCAACACAAGTGCTTAATTCTTGAATATTTGAAACACTTTTTGTAGAAATGGGTTCCCGGTATACTCACCTTTTTCACACTGAAGGGAGATGACTTTCGAGGGGCAAAGTACTGATTCAACTGTTTGTCCTGCATGAAGAAATCAAATTATTTTTCAGCAGCAAAATAATTCAGAATTTCAAGAGCTCTTGTTCCACGATGAGTGGGTAGCCAAGCTTGCATACCTGGCAGATGTTCTTCCTCTGTTAAACGAATTAAACATGTCCTTGCAAAGAAAACTTAAGGACGTGTTTACAGTACGAGGTAAGAGAGAAGCTTTTCAAAAAATATCACCGTGGCAAACGCTGTTGGCAGAAGGAAACCTACAAATGTCTGTAAATTTTAATGAGGATATGGGAGAGAAGGCTGCCAACCCGCAAGTGGTATCCTTTATTCAACAGCACTTACAGTCACTGACAGAATGTTTTTGTTTTTATTAGCTGAAGCAAGAAGATCCTGGGCATGGAACTATGTGGATAATAGATCCATTTTCAGGAAACTCTGAAGATAGCAAATTAAGCATGAATGAAAAAGGAGATCAGACTGATCTATTTTGCGAGACAGTTTAAAAACTAAATTCTAGTCATCTTAATAAAGACTCGTTTTTTCTCTTTATAAAAAATGAACACCCATCACTGAGTGGAAAAGCAATGAAAATTTTAATTCAATTTTCAACAATATATTTGTGCAAAAAGACATTTCCATCTGTAACAGCAATTAAAAGTCCGTCTCAGCTTGAAACAAACGTGCTCTCCGTCCCGTGATGACATTGGAACCAAAAATCCATAAATTAATTTCAAACAAACAGGAATAAATATGCGTAATACTTAAATTAACCTAATTTTTTCTTAAATTTTTATTTTAAATAAACTTAAAAATGTATAATACTTAAATAAACCTAAATTTTTTATTTTTTAATTAGTTACTCTATAACTTTGTTATCTTTAATGTGCATTTCACATTAATAAAATAAACGTTTTCTGATTATTATTTTATGAATGCATATATTACCTTTATTTTCTTAATTCATATTAGTGGTCCGCTAAATATGAAATTATATACTAAGTGGTCCATGAAGCTCTAAAGGTTGGCAACAACTGCTCTAGAGATTAGGATTGAGCAAAAGCCAGCACGAGGACCGGGTGCGTCCCTTTTAATTGCTTAATCCGGCGCGTCATAAAATCTTGTCCAACGATATTTTCATTTCTTTTCTATTCAAGTTTGTACTCAAACTACCGAAATTAGCAACACGAGTTCGTAGTACATGTGTTTATACGATGAATGAATATACTAGTGGTCAACTTAAGCTGAGAATCCTAGATATGTATGTGTATTCGCCGAATAATATATTCCTATAATTTCTAGCAGCTTTTAAATTAGAAAGTAAACAATTAAATATGAACACTTTTTAGATAAAAAGACTGGTCAGAAGAAGGAGATTAGGAAAAGAACATTTTACCCGTCATTTTCATTTAAAAATAAAACAGTATATATGATATCATTTGATGACCAATAGTAAAAATTCCCATTTTTGGCGTGTTGAAACTGCAAATTGGCAGAAACTCACAGGAAAAAAAAGGGGAGATTCGCCTCTTCTTTAAGAGAGAGGAGGAGTGGCAAACTGTTTCTTACAGGGGGGGGGGTGCTTTCTAAGGGAAAGGGAGAGCGGCAAACTCTCTCTTTTAAAACCAATAAAATATTCAGTTGTCTCTGACCTGTAGAATGGAAAGCAGGCAGGGACTTCATGTTCCAATATTCAATGTATGTGGCTTTAAGTAAAAAATATGAAATTAAATGTATCAACTGCTATTTTAAATTGTATTTAATATCTACCAGAAAAGAGTGTCCTTCCCTATCCCATACTAGCAAATAATAGGGTAGCCTCAAAAGAACATATCACACAAGCACCATCGCACCTCGCGACGGCTCATTTGCATGCTGTGGTTTTCCCCATGTGTAACGTGTATACGAGCCAGTTTCCCTTAGAAAGTCCTCCACGAAAGGCATCCCTCCCCTTAGGCAGATAGCCCTCGTGTGCTTTGCCATAATTAAATACACCAACACCATTTGCATGCTGCGTTTGAAAACCACCTTTTTGGCTCGTGGTTAAAAGTATCTGTTTACTCCTGCTCTACATTGTATACTCAATGAATTATTAAAGTTCCACTGAGAATATTTTAAGCGTGTAGACATTTTAATGTTATGTCGTTACACTAAGAAATTCACAACTTTCTTGTGAAATACATATTGTAGTTTCTTTATGTTATTTAAACTTGGTTCTTTGAGCTATATTTTTTAATTCTTAATTTCCTTATCCTTATCCGCACAAATATTGCCGGAATATCGCGCAAGGCGCGACGTCTCCGGCTCGATGATAAGCAAGGCCCAGAAGGCACATGACGCTGGAAAATGCCGAATATAGTAAAGTAGAGGTCTGAAATGGAATTCTTAATTTAAAAACTCCCTGCTATTATTATTGTTATTTACTTAAGCTATCACTGGTAGATAAATATGACCGAAGGACTTCGTATGCTGCAGTTTCTATAGATGTCATCGAAAAACTTGAACAAGATCTATATATCAAATTTTTAAGGTTTTTCGAAAAACTTGAACAAGATCTTTAAGTCTTGTATAAACGCATTAAATTAAGTAAGGAATTTAAGAGACTACTCCGATTTATAGATGATAATCGATAATATCCATACATAGATGATATCGCAAGCATTTGCATTTAGTTTGAGTTAGCTTTGAAAGGGATTTTATATGATAATCCGATAAAATTCGAAGGTGGCTCTTTTGATAAGACTACGATCAGAGCACAAATAGGCGTGAGTACACGTGTATGTTTAGAGTTTAGAAGTTTTGTTAGAAGTTGAACTCCGCCTACCAACGAATGAACATACATTGCCGAATTTTCAACATTTTTTAAAATAGCTGCTAATTGCCATGCTGTATATATATTTATATAAACTTGTTAAAAAAATAGTGTTTCATTAAAATAAGGTAAAATATAACTTTGGTTCTACTTACATATTAGGGCAACCATCTTGGCACAATTTGGCGAGTTTTACAGATAATAAAGAATTAAGGTAGTAAACTTAACTTAATTGCAAAAATTAATTTAAACGTAATTGCAAAAAAAAAAAAAAAAAAAAAAAAAAATTATATTTTTTATTTTAATTAGATATTTATCCTGAAAAATCAATCAAAAAAACTCACAAGCGAGGTTTTGTTCTGGTAGAAATTTTGTAACGATCGTTTTAATCATGGGTATTTTAAGTCCTATGAGCAGTAAGATGTATTCCTGAAAAATTTTGCAGCAGTTTCTACAAATGCAAGCACATCTCACAAGCACATATTTTAAAATACTATTTAATGCAACAAACATCACAGATGCAGCGAAAAGAACGCATGCGAAAATGGTGGCGTTACTTACTAAAACTGAAAAAGTTGTTACGCGCATGGATGTCAGAGTTTGGCGCATTTTGAAAATTTTTCCAAGCTCTGCTCAGGTGGTTGTGTTAATACATAAATACTTTAATGGTATCGTAAATTGTGTATATTTAAGCTATACATTAATAAACTTGTTTAAAATATATAGATAAGTAATTTTAAAAACTTCCCCCACATTTTTATAGTTAATAAAGATTTTATTCCTCGTTAGAATTCGTTTCGGAAGAAAAATATTTAAAGGTCCCATTTTATAACTGTTTTGAAAAAAACTGACTATGTTTTTCTAACAACCATAATGGAATATTTCCATCACGATTGAGTGCAAATAAACGCATTTTCTGAATGATCTCAGCTGCACATTCCTGAACATCATGATCTTTACTTTTCATTTGTTCGAGCAAGATTTCGTATACTCTCGGACTATTATACATAACAGCACACCACTTAGGAATAATTGACAACTGAGAAAGAGCGTGAGTAGCAGCTCCTGTTACTACTGAATCTCTACTTTGCAGCATTTTTATTAATGGAAATACTATTTGCTGTTTTGCAAATTCCTGTCTGTTATTTCTGTAGGGACAACAAGCAGTTATTGCCATACATAGATGATATCGCAAGCGTTTGCATTTAGTTTGAGTTAGCTTTGAAAGGGATTTAACTATATGATAATCCGATAAAATTCGAAGATTTTGTGGCTCTTTCGATAAGACAATGATGAGAGCACAAATAGGCGTGAGTACGCGTGTATGTTTAGAGTTCAGAAGTTCTGTTAGGAGTTGAACTCCCCCCACCAATGATCGAACATACATTGCCGAATTTTCAATATTTTTTAAAATAGCTGCTAATTGCCATGCTGTATTTGACACAACAGATGGGTTGTCATTTTTAAGGTGAGACCATATTAGTCGCAATGCATTATGCTTCTCTAAGAGCGCTAAACATTCAGTATCACGTGAAACAATGCCTAAAGCTCTGTTTAAATACATTATCAGTTTTGGAGCTGTAGTATGAAGACGTCCAATTAGCATCTCAATGCCATTATTCTTTCGAACCGTGTTTCGGGTTTGAGGATTTGTCATACAGCAGCAGAGACATGCCACTAAATGCTCCTGAACGTCGACTGGCTGTGAAGCCAAAAGTTGAATTAACAATGGCGAAGCATTCAATGCTTGTAGCCGCAAGACATTTGCTTCATTTTCTGCGCATTTCCATAAAGCCCCTGATATGGAAGCCATCATTCTGTGATCTGTATGGAATGAAGACGTTTGAATTATTTCAAAAAGTTTATCCACAAATCCAGCTTTGCCAAAAAATTGTCTTGATTCATCTCCTTCTGCACAGGTAAAAGCCGCTTGTGCTGCTGCTTGCATTAGTCCTTGATCCTCACTATAAAAATGACTGCGAAAATCTTCTAGCATTCCTAAATTTCGTATAGCCAAACGAACGCATTTATAAGTAGCACATCGTTGAATAAGTTGCATTATAATTGTTGCTAATTGGACATGTGGAGTTTTAAGAATATTCTGACAACCCCGTAATGCACCACTGGATAAAAGCTCGATTCGATTTTTACGGCAGTTACAAACTTCAAATAGTGCTCCCGCTGCTGCTTCAGCAGCATTTATGATTCCAGTTAGATGGTCACTTAAAACTTCTGATTTCTCATAAAGTAAATGTTTAGGAAGATAGATCATGTTAACAAGAAGTGGGATGCCTCCAGAAAGTTGGACTGTTCTCCATGCTTTATGGAAATCAGCAATGCATGTAATAGTTTCAGTTGCCGCTTGTCTTATGTCAGTTTGCGGCTCAGATAAAAGTTTAACCACTGACTGAATACCACCAAGATAGACAATTTCATGACGCAGCATTCTGATTTTTGATAGCTTTCTTAAAAATTTTAAAGCCATGAACTGAAGTCTTTTTTCGTCACTGTGTAAAACATTGAGCAAAATTTCTATTACTTTGTAGTGACTCAAACATTTTAACATAACAGGATCTTGAAAATCACAGTCGTATGAAGTAATCAGCGCAAGTGTTGTGAGCAAAGGTCTATCATAACTAAAATATTTTACTGATTTCATAAGTTTCCAGTAATCATTAGGATATTCATAATTTTCAAAACTTGGCCTTCTCTTATAAATATCTTCCAAATCATCAGATTCGGAGCTACTACATTTTGATTTTACATCAGCTTCTTGAACTATGCTAATAGCCTTTTTTTTATTACAAAGCGGGCTTATGAATCGATATCTTGGAAACATTTTTTCCTGTATATATGGGATTTAACGAAGTTTTATGAAAATTTCACTGAATGAAAGTATATTTATTAGCAGGCATTATTTTTTATTGTAAAAATCATAATATTTGAACTTAAAGTTACGGTTATAACTACGTATAATTTTTGATTTTTTTTATTAATTCATTAAGCAATGAAATGGTTGGCTGATTGAGAATATAGGTATTAATTGTTGACAGTCGTCATTGATTAAAAAATAATTTTGGAATTATTCTTATTCTTAACATTATAATAAATAAAAATTTGAAAAAAAAAATGGTTTTAAATTAACTAACTTGTTTGATATTTTTAATTACATTTTTATCCTCACTTCGTGTACGTTTACTGCACGTGTGCGCTAGCTGATTTAACATAATTTAATACGTTTGATATGGCATTTGATGTATTCTTATTTGTTAGCATTTAGGTCATTTGTTTTGCATAAAGTCTTGTGCTTGCTCGTTATTAATTCTATTTATATGTAAAACTAGTTCAAAGTTATGGAACTTGAATTAAGAAAGCCTGTATAAGAAAAATTAAATTAATTTTGCAAATAAAAATTACAGATTTCTGTCCAAGAAAAGCGCAGAAGCTTTTGCAAAAAAGGCGAAGCGCCCTTAAAATGATCCAATCATTTCGAAATTTTGTATGCAAGTTCTTTGGTACCAAGTACGCAAATTATTAAATTTTTAAGTCCAATGATTAAATACAATGAGTGTTAACTCTGTCATAACATGCGTTCCTACTGCGCAACTAACATCGTATAAAACAAGAAACAATTTCGGACAGTTTATTTCTCTCACGTAGTCGACGTTGAAGTTCCCTGGAGACCAGTAATGCCATTACGACGTTGTTGGAGACTTTATAGACAATTGGAGGAACGTGGACCTACAGTAGGGAGTCGTGAAGCGGCCTGGTCATACCGAGCGATAGGCCGCCACTTGCACCTTGCGGACATGGCTATCAGTAATGGTTGCTACAAGATACTCATCGGCGGAATCAAGGTTGTGGATGGCAGAGGTGCACGAATGCGAGGCAAGATCGTATGGTTGTACGACATGCCCAAGCTGCTCTAACAGCATCAATCAACGAAGCGGTCAACGATTGATGCTCTAACAGCATCAATTAACGAAGTGGTATGGAAGGGACTAGGGGCCACTTTTGGCACCTATCCCATCTCACGACACTTTCACAGCGGCTTTTAAGACGTCTGCCTTTAACCCCACAACTCCAACACAGGCGTCTGGAGTATGTCGTAGCCGATCATCATGGCTGCCAGTCTATTGACATAGCATAGTGTTGCGTCCGGACGGGTTCGTAATAAACTGAATGCGCAAGTCCGATCAAAAGTGAATAAAATTTATTCTTATCACAACAAATAAAACAAAATGCTCAAATTTCCTCAGAGATATTCGTACAATATCGCAATATCTCACAGTAGTTATATTTTAAACTATACAAAAACGTTGAACAGAACTCAATTCAAAAGCACTGAGAAAGCTAATCCGATCTCACCGCGAATTCGCTACAATCAATAACAGCAACAAGTAAACAACTGAATTGAGATGTTTTCCTCTAGCTCTTATAAGCTTTTCAATACTGCACGAGAATATTCTGGTATTTTCTTGATTTTTCTGGATAGCAAAAGAATGCAATTACGAGATATCTATTTCTTAAAATGTTAAATGCGCGTGCTCCTGTTTTTAATTTTTCCGGCGTGGCTTTCTCTTCAAATAAGTCTCGTGCTGCATTACACCGGAATATAAAACAATTTTAATTACACATTCTACTAAAAGTAGCTAAATAAATACAAAAACCGTAACGATAGTGTTGAGCGAAGAAGCTGCTTCAGTTTGGAACAGATGACAAACGGGTCCGTGGGAGGAGATGCCAGCATTCGCAATTAGCTTTGTTTTACTGAATTGCACAGCCATTATCCCTGATATGATGGTGTGGAATGCTAATTCTTAAAACAGCAGGCCGACCCTACTCATTCAGCATACAACTGTAACTGCTCGACGATATGCTGATGACATCCTGAGACTGTTTGCTTTACTTTTCATGGCATTCCTGGAGCCATTTCTGAACAGGATAATGCTAGATCCCATACGGTTCGCATGCTTCTGGACTGTTTCCAAGCTGTTGATGCTCTTCTTTGACAAGCAAGGCCACCAGACCTTTCGCCAATCGAATATGTGTGGGATATGGTAGGCCGCCAAATTCGGGCACCCCAACATGTTGCAGAACTGCAGCAGCAATTGAGGAATGTTTGGGATGAAATTAGAAATCTTTATCATTGCTTACCATTGCTCTGTGTTTACAAACATGCATTGCGGCAAGGGATGTTCACCAGTTACTGATTTGAAAATGCAGTGTGCAACTGCTAGCCACTGATGTGTCCTATGGCCTTGAATTTTTATTAATTTCATTACCTATGTATGACCTGTACGCATTCCCCCCCCCGAAACAGTTAAGAAGTTTTCAGGCGTTATATTACAAAGCTATAAGAATTGATTCATAGTGGTGTCTTCCGAAACTAGGAATTATAAAGTGAAAAAAAAATTACATTTGAAAACGAGGTAATGCGAAGGTTGAAGTTTCAATTTTATCTCGATGCACTTCTACTGATTGATGGCATTGTAGGAAAAGAGAAGGTATTTCATATTTGAAAATTGGGTGTAGCATATATTTATGATAATATGTGGAGCAGATCTTAACATTTCTCTCCACTCTCTGCATTTTTAATTTGCCGTTATATGAAAAACCACCAACAATCATAAATCCCTTAGAAAAACTTTCTTTAGATTGAACCATGTTTTCAGATTTTTTCTTCTCTTTGATGATAATAAATAGATCTGTGTTTCATTGCACTCATTTAAATACACCCAAGATTCGTATACTTGTAGGGATTTATATTTATTTTAACTAACAATTTAAAGTTTAAATTCAAACTTTCCTACAAGCCTTCCTTCCCCTAATTGTCAGTGCCAGAATAGTTAAATGTTGTAGCGCGCTTGAAGAAATGCAAATTTCAACTTTGTAGGAAAAAAATATTTAAAAGCTGAGTTTGGGTAAGAGAAAGAGAGAGTTAGGATTTAGCCGCAGTCTCTGGCGTAGGTACGTTTGCTTATTGCTGGTTCAAGTAGCTTAATTGCGTTTATTTGCTGTCACTAGCTTCGAAAAGGGTATGGGATCTCGCTAAGCCCTGTAGTCTAGTTCTATCGTTTGTTAATATCTTCAAATTTTTAGTTCTAGTTACTTGATTTTCAGTTACCACCCAAGCAGAGACGAAGTTTGTTAGCGTCGAGTTGACGCATTGTAAATTTTCAAAGATTTAATAAAGGGTACTTTAACACTTCTATTGTGTAGTTTCCTGCTACTCCAGTTGCAGACAGAATTTCATCTACTGGACTCTACATACTGTGACAACATTTTTTTTTCATTTTTATCAGGGTAAATGTTTCTCATAAAGAATACTGCAGCACGTTCTGCGTTCGGCAATATATCGTGGAGAAAGATGATGCACACTATATTTTCCTCTCTTTTTAAGATTCAAATCTGGATCGGCCATTTCGTTAACAGTTAACACTGAGCATTTTAATGATTCGCAACTGTACTTTGAATTGGCGGATTTTCTTTTAACATTAAAGACCTTACTTTTGAAATATTCTAAACATTCCGTTTTTTCTTTCGTTTCTGGAACAATTTTTCCACTTGAACTAAAATTTGACGTTTCGCTCCTTTGTTGTTGACAACATTACCTATTGTAGCTTTTGATATCGAAACTTTCACAACATTTTTTGATAACATGACTTTCACAACATTTTTTTGATAACTATATACGAATAATTTTCTTCAGAAAGAACACATATACTTCCATCCATTGCTTATTTAAAAGCGACATTTTGCGTGAAAACAAAAGTGCCAAGTAGCAGACTATGATTAATACTTTCAAAAATATAGTTGCAGTTAAAAAATAAGAATTCTGAACAGAAGATTTTTTTTTTTTAAACAGCAAAACAAAATCGTCTATGAAATGTGCAAGTAGCCTCTATAATTCGATTCTGTACCTAAAACTACGGCAAACTGTCAAGTTTTATAAAATCCGCTTGAACACTTTATTTTTTTAATTAGCTCTCAAAATTTTAGTTTGGTAATGTTGATTGAATTTTATTTATAAAGGACAGTCAACAGGTCAGGAACAAATTCTGACATTAAATTTATCGTAGTTAATGAACAGAACTATGCTTTACAGAAAATGGCCACCGCCGATGTCCACTGTACTCGATTTATCAAACTGTGAGACACACATAGCCTAAGGGATGGTAGTAATAGCATTTTCAGTATTCTGCTGTAGCTCTTCCAATGGTGTTCCGCATAACACCCAATGAACGCGAGCTCTTTTATCGTTAGCACCTTTTGTGTTGCATTCTACTGATCACTAAATATGCCTGCACCTCTCACTTCAACTGCTCACTAAGCAAGTCTGTTCCTTTCACTCGAACAACTGATGATGAACAACTCGAACTGTCACATGTCATTGCATACTCTTTTTCACACCCAATTGTGCCTATCACAATTTCTAATGATGTATTTCTTGTTTAGGACACGTTTTACACGAAATTCCAAAAACATTCTTCTGTTTCCACGCTGTTCCTAACTCATACTATCTATGTAGTAGCGCTTTAAAGCAGTGCATGAAATTTACTATCATTTACATCTGTGTCAAAATAAGAGGTGAGTTTTAGAGGCTAGATTTCCTGGGAATAAGATTTCATGGGGCACCAATTAATCAAAATTTTAATTAAATAAGTTGTTTACCTGGTGCTAAAAACTGGCGCATTTATGTGAGGTACAATCTGAACACCGGTATGGGACGGTCTTGAATGAGAATTTTTTTCTTTCTTCGATTACTGATTACTGAATTGGAAAACGGGTTTAGTTGATTTATATTGAAACTAAGCTGTCTGGCGAATCAAATCCTTACTCAACGGCATTTAGCAATTCGTATATTTTACTTTCAATTTATTTGGCAAC